GCAGAGGTGTCGATTCCTTACTTTATATTTCTACTCTAGCAAAAACGTATGGAATAAAATACGGAATAAGCTCATGGCTATCATATCCCCCTAAATCTAGGACTCTGTCTAGCATCGATATTTGGCTAAAATGTTTGTGTTTATTAAATTATTTGTTTGAGACGCACTGTAGATTATCTGTTGACTTAACACTGTCCACCGCCTTTTTCCCCCGATGAGTTGCTATTCTGGAGGAAAACAGATCTCTCTTGCACCAAAGACATCAATAACAACAACCGATTATACAAGTTCGCTATCCTATTAAATTCATCGATTGACTGAACTGCATGTTCGTGTCTTTTGATCTCGTGTTTTGTAGCATGAAACAGCAGCTCCTTTGTTGAGTCGGTTCTTTCAAAATGGATTCTGCTTAAAATAAAAAAGAAAACACCTATCATATTCACTGATAAATTGTACTTCGTCATTATATTTTGCAGTAGGTAAATTTTATTTTGACTATGAACATTAAAATAAGATGAGGTTTAGGACAAGAATATTTTATTTTCTGAAGAAAAGGTAACCTTGACACTACATTTTCGCAAACGATGCTACTGTGACCTGTAACTGAGGTGTCGTGTGCACCGAGGAGTATCTGGACAATTAAGACATGTTTTAGGAGAGATGATTCGATTGGTACTTTGTACGGTACAAAACACCTTAAAATTTACGATCATTCCTGGAATTTAAGATCTTCTAAGAGTGGTATAGTAACTTGAATACCAGTCTCTACCTACATGGTACAACAATTTGAATGACAATTCCAAACCTACATGGTACTACCATTTGAATGACCATTCCCTACCTACATGGTATAATGAATTGAATACCAGTCCCTATCTACCTGGAATTATGACTTGAACGACCAGTCCCTACCTACATGATATAATGACTTTAATACCAGTCCCTACCAACATGGAATAATAATTTGAATGAACAGTCCCTATCTACATGATATGATGACTTGAATAAACGGTCCCTACCTACATGGTACAACGATTTTAATGATAAGTCCATCCCAACCTATATGGTACAATGATTTGAATGACCAATCCCTACCTACAAAGTATGATGAATCTAAAAATCAGTCCCTACCCATATGATTTGAAGGGCCAGGTCCTACCGAAAGGATACAATGCTATAAATGACCAATCCCTACCTCTACTAACTTGAATGAGAAGTCCCTACCTACATAGTATAATGACTTGAATGACCAGTCCCTACAGACATGGTATAATGATGTGACTGGCCATTTCATACCTACATGGTATAATGACGTGAATGACCAGTACTTACCTACAGAGTTTAAAGACGTAAATAACAATCCCTATTTACATGGAATTATGACTTGAATGACCATTTCATACCTACATGGTATAATGACGTGAATGGCCAGTCCTTATCTACATAGTATAATGACTTGATTGACTAGTCCCAACCCATATGGTATAATGACGTGAATGACCAGTACCTACCTACATGGTATAATGACTTGAATGACCAGTCCTTACCTTCATGGTATAATGACATGAATGACCTGTTCCTACATACATGATATAATGACTTGAATGACTAGTCCCTACCTACATGGTATAATGACGTGAATGACCATTTAATACCTACATGGCATAATGACGTGAATGACCAGTCCCTACCTATATGGTATAATAACGTGAATGATGAGTTCCTACCTACATGGTATAATGACGTGAATTACCAGCTCCTACCAATATGGTATAATATCTTAAATGACCAGTCTTTATCTACATGGTATAATGACGTGAATGACCAGTCCAGACATACATGGCATAATGACTTGAATGACCAGTCCTTACATACATTGTATAATGACGTGAATAACCAGTTCCTACATACCTTTTATAATCACGTGAATAACCAGTCCCTACCTACATGGCATAATGACGTGAATGACCAGTCTCTACCTACATGGTATAATGACGTGAATGACCAGTTCCTACCTACATGGTATAATGACTTGAATGACCAGTCTTTACCTACATGGCATAATGACGTGAATGGCCAGTCCCTACGTACATGGTATAATGACCTGAATGACCTGATCCTACCTATATAGTATTTTGACGTGAAAGACCAATCCTTACCTTCATGGTATAATGACCTGAATGACCAGCTCCAAACTGCATGGCATAATGACGTGAATGACCAGTCCTTACCTACAAGGTAATATGACCTAAATGACCAGTCTCTACCTACATTTATACTGTTATGACTGACCAGTCCCTACCTACATGGTATAATGACTTGAATGACCAGTCCTTACATAAATGGTATAATGACGTGAATAACCAATCCCTACCTACATGGTATAATGACGTGAATGATCAATCTCTACCTACATGGTATAATGACGTGAATGATCATTTCCTACCTACATAGTATAATGACCAGAATGACCAGTCCCTACCTACATGGTATAATGACGTGAATGACCAGTCCTTACCTACATGGTATTATGACCTAAATGACCAGTCTCTACCTACATTTATACTGTCATGACTGACCAGTCCCTACCTACATGGTATAATGACTTGAATGACCAGTCCTTACATAAATGGTATAATGTCGTGAATGACCAATCCCTACCTACATGGTGTAATGACTTGAATGAACAGTCCCTATTTACATGGTATAATGACATGAATGACCAGTTTATACCTACATGGTATATTGAAGTGAATGACCAGTTCCTACCTACATGGTATAATGACGTGAATGACCAGTCCCTACCTACATGGTATAATGACGTGAATGACCAGTTCCTACCTACATGGTATATGACGTGAATGACCAATCCCTACCTACATGGCATAATGACGTTGATGACCAGTCCCTACCTACATGAAATAATGAAGTGAATGACCAGTTCCTACCTATATGGTATAATGACTTGAATGTCCAGTCTTTACCTACATGACATAATGACGTGAATGACCAGTCCCTACCTATATGGTATAATGACCTGAATGACCTGATCCTACCTATATAATATTTTGACGTGAAATACCAATCCTTACCTACATGGTATAATGACCTGAATGACCAGTTCCAATCTGCATGGTATAATGACGTGAATGAACAAGCCCTACCTACATAGTATAATGACGTAAATGACCAGTCTCTACCTACATGGTATAATGACGTGAATGATCAATCTCTACCTACATGGTATAATAACGTGAATGACCATTTCCTACCTACATAGTATAATGACCTGAATGACCAGTCCCTACCTACATGGTATAATGACGTGAATGACCAGTCCTTACCTACATGGTATTATGACCTAAATGACCAGTCTCTACCTACATTTATACTGTCATGACTGACCAGTCCCTACCTACATGGTATAATGACTTGAATGACCAGTCCTTACCTACATGGTATAATGACGTGAATGACCAATCCTTACCTACATGGTATTATGACCTAAATGACAAGTCAATACCTACATTTATACTGTCATGACTGACCAGTCCCTACCTACATGGTATAATGACTTGAATGACCAGTCCTTACATAAATGGTATAATGACGTGAATGATCAATCTCTACCTACATGGTATAATAACGTGAATGACCATTTCCTACCTACATAGTATAATGACCTGAATGACCAGCCCTTACCTACATGGTATAATGACGTGAATGACCAGTCCTTACCTACATGGTATTATGACCTAAATGACCAGTCTCTACCTACATTTATACTGTCATGACTGACCAGTCCCTACCTACATGGTATAATGACTTGAATGACGAGTCCTTACATAAATGGTATAATGACGTGAATGACCAATCCTTACCTACTTGGTATTATGACCTAAATGACCAGTCTCTACCTACATTTATACTGTCATGACTGACCAGTCCCTACCTACATGGTATAATGACTTGAATGACCAGTCCTTACATAAATGTTATAATGACGTGAATGATCAATCTCTACCTACATGGTATAATAACGTGAATGATCATTTTCTACCTACATAGTATAATGACCTGAATGACCAGTCCCTACCTACATGGTATAATGACGTGAATGACCAGTCCTTACCTACATGGTATTATGACCTAAATGACCAGTCTCTACCTACATTTTTACTGTCATGACTGACCAGTCCCTACCTACATGGTATAACGACTTGAATGACCAGTCCTTACATAAATGGTATAATGACGTGAATGACCAATCCCTACCTACATGGTATAATGACTTGAATGAACAGTCCCTACTTACATGGTATAATGACATGAATGACCAGCTCCTAACTACATGGTATATCACGTGAATGACCAATCCCTACCTACATGGAATAATGACGTGGATGACCAGTCCCTACCTACATGGTATAATAACGTGAATGACCAGTCCCTACCTACATGGTATTATGACTTGAATGACCATGTTTTTCGTGCTCTTTTGCAGCAGAATACTGTGACTCACTGGTATATCTTTCTAAAGAAAAAGTCAAGTGTGAACGCATAACTATTTTTACTTGTAAAATTGAATTCCTAGGAATGACATTACCTTCTGGCTCTTAGTTTTGTTGATCAACTCGAACCACATTCATCGCCCCAAAACCCACTGGCAGCCATTTACTTTCCCAAAGATCACAGTTTGGAATATAACTCACCTCTCCTGGACGACAATGCTATGAACTTTGTGAAAATGAGTGATGAGATCTGATCCGATTATTATTTTTAACGTAGCTTTAGCAATTTTTCAGTCATATCTCTACGACATCTGCAGTGTGGCAGTTTATAGTGATATCTAGCACTGGGGCATCATGTCACATACATGTAGCATGATGTCCCCCCGAGTCACATAATCTTGACACCAGGCTGACCAGTCCTAACACTAACCTTTTAATGCTGAGCGCCAAGCGAGGCAGCTGTTAGTACCATTTTTGTAAGTCTTTGGTATGACTCGATCGGGTATCGAACCGACGACCTGTCGCATCTGAGGCGGACGCTCTAACCACTAGGCCACCAGAACGCTTATGAAAAGAAGTGATGTATCCACGTAATTCAATGAAGTGAGATTACAACTATCATAGTATATTATGTGTTGATAACATTGTGTGGATCTTGGAAATCAACAGTCTTGGTTTATGATTAGAACATTACTAACTTGATTTGGAAGTAAATTTCTGGGGAAACTTTGCCAAAATATATTTTTAACAACGTTCCAATCTATCTCCTGTTGCTACAATGAGTAGTTTTCATTGATGGCAAAATGGCACTGAAATAGTACAGTTGAAGTCTAAACTTCATGCAAATCAATTCTCACATTTTAAATAAGTTTATGTTTAACATTCTGTATTTGATCTTTGTCAGTTGCACATGAAGATGAAGGGGTTACCTCTAAATACCGTCTTCATTTGTTATGGGTTTTTTTAATGTTTGAGTTAGTTACCAGGCTTCTCAAGGAAAATAAATATTGAAACATTTCTTATATTACTAAGACACCATACTCATTTCGGCAGTTTAGAGCAGAAGTTATCATAAGTAATACAGCATATACATAACCCCAACACACACAGACACACACACACAAACCCAAAATTTTGACAAAAGGAAGAAACTTATAGCAAATTCATGTCATTGTATGATGTGATGTACTAAGAGATGTATGTATGTATGTATGTATGTATGTATGTATGTATGTATGTATGTATGTATGTATGTATGTATGTATGTATGTATGTATGTATGTATGTATGTATGTATGTATGTATGTATGTATGTATGTATGTGTGTGTGTGAATGTATGTGTGTGAATGTATGTATGTATGTATGTATGTATGTATGTATGTATGTATGTATGTATGTATGTATGTATGTATGTATGTATGTATGTATGTATGTATGTATGTATGTATGTATGTATGTATGTATGTATGTATGTGTGTGAATGTATGTGTGTGAATGTATGTGTGTGAATGTATGTATGTATGTATGTATGTATGTATGTATGTATGTATGCATGCATGCATGCATGCATGCATGCATGCATGCATGCATGCATGCATGCATGTATGTCTGTATGTATGTATGTATGTATGTATGTATGTATGTATGTATGTATGTATGTATGTATGTATGTATGTATGTATGTATGTATGTATGTATGTATGTGCATTAATGCATTCATTTGTAAGCAATATTTTAAAATATTCAGACTAGACGTTAAGTACAACATTTAACATGTATGTACATGTGCATGCATGTATGTGTGCAATGCCTGATATTCAATAATAAATATCAATGAAAAATACTGCTATTAATGACAATAATAACTTAGTACCGTTCATTTATTATTGGTATTTGTAATTTATTATTATTATTATTATTATTATTATTATTATTATTATTATTATTATTATTATTATTATTATTATTATTATTATTATTAAGCACAATTTGTTATCTCATTACAGTTTTCAGTTTTTAAAAATTTGTTCTCTCTCTCTCTCTCTCTCTCTCTCTCTCTCTCTCTCTCTCTCTCTCTCTCTCTCTCTCTCTCTCTCTCTCTCTCTCTCTCTCTCTCTCTCTCTCTCTCCTGCCGTGACGACCAGACCTTACCGCAGCTCCATCCTAAGCATTGTTCAGTTCCTAGTGATATATTCCTCATAAGAAGGTTTACAGGCGTTATTCTTGCCTTGGGGTGATGCTTTCAATGCACGCGTCAGCAATTTAAAAGAAGTCTTTAATAAATGTATGCTTTGGAATTATGTTCTGATAGGGATTGATACTGTAAAAGTAAGTGTTCTGAAGGACTTAAAGCAATGGGACAAAAGGAGAAGGCTTTTACTTACCATCCGCATACCAACGTCATATTAAATAAATTTATTAATTGCTAACGAGGATCCGGTGGTCAAAGGTGATGGGAGGTTGAAAAAAAGCATATAACTTGAGAATGGAATACGGCCCGACAAAGTTGTTCTCCGCTGCCAGTAGTGTCAGAAAAAAGCGGAGACCTACTTGTTGGTCTATAGCTGGGGTCGGCAACCTATTTTACGAAGTGTGCCACTCTTTTTCGGGATTTAATTATAAAAAGAACGATCGCGTGCCACCATTAAGATGGTAACACTGGTAAAATCGAGATGTTTTTGCTGCCGTTCGTGTGCCACACAAAACCTATTGACGTGTCATCATGTGACTAGCGTGCCAAAGATTGACAACCTTTGGTCTATCTCCTGAGGCTTGCAAGATTGGCATGGAATTGTGGATTATCGCACAAATTAAATGGCACGCAAACGAGTGCAATAGGTTGAGTCGCGAATGTCATGGCTTATTACAGAGAGTGTACCATAGGAGGTACTGAATGGAGGAAAGAAAGGAAATGATAAGAACAACCAAGGTATTGATGAGAAAAGTAATGGAGAAATGTACAAAATGAGAAGATGTACAAAATGAAAAGAATAAAGAGATATCAGGTACATGAGCGTCTGAACAAAAAAGACTGGATGAAAGTTCAGCAGAAATTGAGAGAAATGGAAAAAGATGTTATTGGGTCATGATGTTAAATCCCAATATACTCCATATTCCTTGCAAAAATTGTATTATATGGTCATCATGTTAAATTCCCATAGACCCCATGTTCCTTACAAAAATGGTACTAAGGTGTCATCATGTTATATTTCCATCAAAACCCTCCATAACGGAGGTCATAACGCCGTCATCCTCTGCGCGTTCATGCTTAAGGGAAGTTTTCAAGCTAATAAACGGACATGCTTGAAACCCATTTCCAGTTCCTGGACCAGTCCATTTTCAGCAAAAGGGTGCATGTGCGACTAAATAAGTACATCCATATGTCGTCTGCTTCGATATTTTACAGTGTCAAATAAAGCAAAGGAAATGAATGACAACCAAAAAATTGCCTTTCACGTGAATTTAACAAGCGGTCTTATCAAGATGTTCATGTGGGCAAAGGAATATAATTCTAAACTCAACTTTATGGCAATTTATGGAATTATCTGGTAGTTACCGAATAGGATGAATTACGTCATTATGTTGTCGAATGGAAATAAACTGCACCTTTTTGTACAGAATATGGCGCCGTATTAGTATGGAAAATCCGTTAAGCATGAGAGGTGCAAAGGAATGCTAGTAATACCTTATTTATGATGTCTGTCTGTTCTTGTCATCTCTCTCTCTCTCTCTCTCTCTCTCTCTCTCTCTCTCTCTCTCTCTCTCTCTCTCTCTCTCTCTCTCTCTCTCTCTCTCATATATATATATATATATATATATATATATATATATATATATATATATATATATATATATATATATATATATATATATATATATATATATATATAAGATGAGGAAACAGTTCATGCGTCTCTTTATGCTCTTCTTGATATATGTGCAGCTAAAGAGTGAACAAAGGAAAATCAGTCAAACTGAAGGGCTATTAATACAGAAGGTTTACATTTACTGATACAAGAAAACTAATAAATATCAAAAGATATTATTGCTTTACATGATAAATTATTGATTACATTGTTAGTAAGATTGTAAAAAGCAACATAATAACATTCAGTTATATATCTAATAAGTTAAATAAATAAACCCGCTTCCTCAGTGGCCAGATTATCTCTCAAATCGCGTAACTCCAATCGATTCTCAGTTCTCGTCTTAAATCTAATTTAGCATAGTCAACTAATCGAGCAAGATGTACTTTAAATTGTTGCATATAATCTCTTTTTATTGAATAATAGCTTATGTAAACGAAAGATTTTTGCAACTAATGCGAAATGTTAACGTAACTATAGCATTCATCCATTCTTTACATTTATCGACAAATATTGAACTATTTCTTATTTGAAGAAATATGTATTGCAACGCATATTCCAAAGCTTCTAATTTTTAACTCCAAGGTAAGACACAATTTATAGCTCTTTAAAACTAAAGCTCTCCAAAGAGAGAGAGAGAGAGAGAGAGAGAGAGAGAGAGAGAGAGAGAGAGAGAGAGAGAGAGAGAGAGAGAGGGTTACTTCTCATGAAAAATAAATGATTTGCTTTAAAGAGAGCAAAAAAAATGTTTAAATGTGGGACGAACTAAATATGTCCACAATGCACCTTATTTCCCCCATTTTTGAAATGGTTTCAATTCTCTACTTTCGTTCCCTTTAGTTCTCTAAAACTCAAACACATCAAAATTATCCAACTCCTTAAAAAGAATATGCGATCTAATTCATCGTCGTATCTTAGACTTTGCTTAAATTCTTCAATTATAAATAATCTACGAAAAAAAGTGTCTTTGATATGTTTCAATTCAGTTAGTTGTCACAGCCGAAACAATGAGTCAGTTTAAAACCGTTGATTGAATTCATTACCAAAATAGAAATTGAGTTTATAATGACCCCAAAAATATAAGTCCTTGTCTTTAGTTTAAAGATAGCATGTATTTCTTTATCGAGAACCAGTGCAGTTTCGTTACTTAAATCTATTTGGCAGATGACTTCAAGAACCTTTCAAGGCCGACATCAGCAAGATATAGATCATTTATTATGCCATCGGCTAAAACGGAAACCACGGTCGTTCTTTTACAAATTCAATCTTACTTTTGAAACTTAAATGCCCATTTGACTAATGTGTCGGAAATGAGAAAGAAATCTAGTGGGAATAGGTCATTTCAATTATAATCCCCCAAATGCATTCAGGACTTAATTGTGGATTATTTCAGAGGTAATCCGCGTGACAGTCAGGAAATTGACGGCTCCGGTGATTTTGTTTAGAGCTCGGAAATAATATTTCATGACGGTTTACATGGGATTTGGCCGTCGGAAACGAGAGTGCGGAAAATAGTAAATATTGTTGACTAAGTGGTTTTATGTATTTAAGTACACAACTGTAATGCAAAATTTACATGTGACGCGTCAGGTTGTATGTGAATGCAAATAATGAATCTTTTTGTTAACAAAAGAATGTCTTGTTTCCTGCTAATGCTTGACACTTCTCCAATATCTAAATAGAAGTGTTTAAGAT